TCAGGAGTTGCGGTTTTTGTCTGCAAATATGACTGCTCAAATCCTTGAAGTTTTTGAGATATGACGTATTTATGATTTTTTCAGAAATTTTCAAATAAACTTAGAGGTTAAAAAATTCCGAAACTTTGAAGATCGCAATCCTGTTGCTGGAAACAGTGAGAGTACTCTCAGAGGGTTGCGAATCTTGCCTCTGAATATGGCTGCTCAAATCCTTGTAGTTTTTGAGATTGCCGTTTTTAAGGTTTTTCCAAAAAGTTTTTCAGAACTTAGATTTTAAAAAATTCCAAAACTTTGAATATATCATTCCTCTTGTTAAAAAAATAGTGACGGTACTCTCAGTAGTTGCGGTTTTCGTCTCCAAATATGACTGCTCAAATCCTTGAAGTTTTTGAGGTATGACGTTTTTATGATTTTTTTGTCAGAAATTTTTAAATAAACCTGTTGTTAAAAAATTCAAGAACTTTGAAGATCTCGATCTTGTTGTCGGAAACTGTGAGGGTACTCTCAGAGGGTTGCGAATCTCGCCTCTGAATATGGCTGCTCAAATCCTTGTAGTTTTTGAGATAGTTTTTTCGGGATTTTTCAGAAAACTTAGATATAAAAAGTTTTACACGTTTTGAAGTTCTCATCTCTGTAATGAGGCTCTGTCAGGTTACTACCAAGAGTTGCGAATTCGGCCTCCAAATATGACTGCTCAAATTCGTTTAGTTTTCGAGATATGCCATGTTTAAAATCCTGTTGTTGGAAACTGTGAGGGTTTTCTCAGCGGTTGTGAATCTTGCCACTGAATATGGCTGCTCAAATCCTTTTAGTTTTTGAGATTGACGTTTTCCAGGATTTTTTAAAATTTTATCAGAGAACTTAGATTTTAAAAAATTCCAAAACTTTGAATTTCTCAATCCTCTTGTTAAAAATTGTGAGGGTACTCTCAGGAGTTGCGGTTTTTGTCTGCAAATATGACTGCTCAAATCCTTGAAGTTTTTGAGATATGACGTATTTATGATTTTTTCAGAAATTTTCAAATAAACTTAGAGGTTAAAAAATTCCGAAACTTTGAAGATCGCAATCCTGTTGCTGGAAACAGTGAGAGTACTCTCAGAGGGTTGCGAATCTTGCCTCTGAATATGGCTGCTCAAATCCTTGTAGTTTTTGAGATTGCTATTTTTAAGGTTTTTCCAAAAAGTTTTTCAGAACTTAGATTTTAAAAAATTCCAAAACTTTGAATATATCATTCCTCTTGTTAAAAATTGTGAGGGTACTCTCAGGAGTTGCGGTTTTTGTCTGCAAATATGACTGCTCAAATCCTTGAAGTTTTTGAGATATGACGTATTTATGATTTTTTCAGAAATTTTCAAATAAACTTAGAGGTTAAAAAATTCCGAAACTTTGAAAATCGCAATCCTGTTGCTGGAAACAGTGAGAGTACTCTCAGAGGGTTGCGAATCTTGCCTCTGAATATGGCTGCTCAAATCCTTGTAGTTTTTGAGATTGCTATTTTTAAGGTTTTTCCAAAAAGTTTTTCAGAACTTAGATTTTAAAAAATTCCAAAAATTTTGAATATATCATTCCTCTTGTTAAAAAAATAGTGACGGTACTCTCAGTAGTTGCGGTTTTCGTCTCCAAATATGGCTGCTCAAATCCTTGTAGTTTTTGAGATAGTTTTTTCGGGATTTTTCAGAAAACTTAGATATAAAAAGTTTTACACGTTTTGAAGTTCTCATCTCTGTAATGAGGCTCTGTCAGGTTACTACCAAGAGTTGCGAATTCGGCCTCCAAATATGACTGCTCAAATTCGTTTAGTTTTCGAGATATGCCATGTTTAAAATCCTGTTGTTGGAAACTGTGAGGGTTTTCTCAGCGGTTGTGAATCTTGCCACTGAATATGGCTGCTCAAATCCTTTTAGTTTTTGAGATTGACGTTTTCCAGGATTTTTTAAAATTTTATCAGAGAACTTAGATTTTAAAAAATTCCAAAACTTTGAATTTCTCAATCCTCTTGTTAAAAATTGTGAGGGTACTCTCAGGAGTTGCGGTTTTTGTCTGCAAATATGACTGCTCAAATCCTTGAAGTTTTTGAGATATGACGTATTTATGATTTTTTCAGAAATTTTCAAATAAACTTAGAGGTTAAAAAATTCCGAAACTTTGAAGATCGCAATCCTGTTGCTGGAAACAGTGAGAGTACTCTCAGAGGGTTGCGAATCTTGCCTCTGAATATGGCTGCTCAAATCCTTGTAGTTTTTGAGATTGCTATTTTTAAGGTTTTTCCAAAAAGTTTTTCAGAACTTAGATCTTAGATTTTAAAAAATTCCAAAACTTTGAATATATCAATCCTCTTGTTAAAAATTGTGAGGGTACTCTCAGTAGTTGCGGTTTTCGCCTCCAAATATGACTGCTCAAATCCTTGAAGTTTTTGAGGTATGACGTTTTTATGATTTTTTTTTCAGAAATTTTTAAATAAACCTGTTGTTAAAAAATTCAAGCACTTTGAAGATCTCGATCTTGTTGTCGGAAAATGTGAGGGTACTCTCAGAGGGTTGCGAATCTCGCCTCTGAATATGACTGCTCACATTTTTGTAGTTTTCGAGATAGTTTTTTTGGGATTTTTCAGAAAACTTAGATATAAAAAGTTTTACACGTTTTGAAGTTCTCATCTCTGTAATGAGGCTCTGTCAGGTTACTACCAAGAGTTGCGAAATCGGCCTCCAAATATGACTGCTCAAATTCGTTTAGTTTTCGAGATATGCCATTTTTTAAATCCTGTTGTTGAAAACTGAGGGATTTCTCAGGGGTTGTGAATCTTGCCACTGAATATGGCTGCTCAAATCCTTTTAGTTTTTGAGATTGACGTTTTCCAGGATTTTTTGAAATTTTATCAGAGAACTTAGATTTTAAAAAATTCCAAAACTTTGAATTTTTCATTCCTCTTGTTAGAAATTGTGAGGGTTTTCTCAGGAGTTGCGGTTTTCGCCTCCAAATATGACTGCTCAAATCCTTCTAGTTTTTGAGATATGACGTTTTAATGATTTTTTCAGAAATTTTCAAAAAAACTTAGATGTTAAAAATTTCCAAACCTTTGAAGATCTCAATCCTGTTGCTGGAAACTGTGAGGGTACTCTCAGAGGGTTGCGAATCTTGCCTCTGAATATGACTGCTCAAATCTTTCTAGTTTTTGAGATATGACGTTTTTAATAGGATTTTCTTAGATATAAAAAAAGTTAGATATAAAAAATTTCACAAAGTCTGAAATTACATCGTTGTAGTGAAGCTCTGTCAGCGTACTCTCAGGAGTTGCTAGTTTTGCCTTCAAGTAGGACTGTTTGAAACCATGTGGTTTTGAAAAAGTTTTCAGAAAAATTAAATTGTTTTTTTTTTCAAAATTTGAAATTACTTACTTGTAGTTGGGTCTGTCAGAGTAATTTCAAGGGTTGCGAATTTGGCCTCCAATGAGAATGCTCACATCTTTTTAGTTTGAAGATACGGCAATTTTTATGATGTTTAAGAAAATTTCAGAAAACTTAAATTACAAAATAATTCACCAAAGTGAAATTCCCAACTGTAGTTGTGTGCTGTCAGAGTATTGCGAAAGATTGCCAATATTGTCTCAAATAAGAATGCTCGCCAGTTTGGCCTCCAATTACGAATGTCCAAATCCTTTGAGTGTAAAAGATATGACATTTTTTTTTTCAAAAGTTTTCCGAAATTTCAAAATAAAAATAATTTTTAACACTTGAAATTCCCAACCCTGTGTTTGGTTACTGTCAGAGTACTCTCAAGGATTGCGAATCTTGCCTCCAAATATGACTGCTCAAATCTTTTTCGTTTTCGAGATATGACGAGTTTTATAATTTTCTTTAATTTTTCAGAAAACTTAAATTTCAAAACATTCAAAAGAATGGAAATTTCCGACCTTGTAGTTGGTTCCTGTGAGGTTACTCTCAGGTGTTCCAAGTTGCAAATCTTGCGTTCGATTTCGGCTGCTCTTGAGTCTTGTTATGTCTTTTTTTAAATTGCTCAAAGAACTTAGATATAACAAATTTCTCAAACTTTCAAGTTCCCATCTCTATAGTGAGGCTCTGTTAGGGTACTCCCAGGAGTTGCGAGTTTTGCCTTCAAATATGACTGCTCAAATCCTTGTATTTTTTGCGATATGACGTTTTTTAATTATTTTTTCGAAAACTCGAATTATCATACAAAACTCCAGTTTTCAGAGAGATTCTTGTATTTATATTAACAATTTTAGAAGGCTTTTTGAAATTTCGCTTTGCGTTCTTCTTTATTCCGAAAGAAGCAGTAATTGGCGGATTATGAGAAAACTTTTGAAATCATATTACAATCATTTAAAAAGGATATGAATGCCAGTTGAAAGTGTAAAAAAATTCCAATTTTCCTCCATTTTTACATATTTTTTTTCGCTTTGTTTAATTTTGTGGCTTTTCTGAATCATTATTGCAAGAGAACAGCTAGATTGTGGTTTTTCTTGTAAAATTTTGAATTTTTGACAGTAATGTTTTACGCTCTAATTCTGGCATATATTATGTTATCGCAATTGATGCGCAGCTTTGCCTCGCCTCAGTGTTGAATTGTTGTTTTCCTATTTTTCTCCCGAACGATTGGAGGCGTTTTGCGTCGGAGACTTTAATTTTTGATTTTAAAATTCCTCTAAATACCTTTTTCTGGAAGTATTAAAAACTGACATTGTCCAAATAAATTCGGAAGAACTTCCGCTCCTTGTTCAAATGTGTTTCGAACTTAACTCGTCCGGGAAAAGAGACTAAGTTTTTAATACTGAAAGTTGTTAGCTTTTCATTGATTTTATCAGATGGTTCATTGAGAATGGTATCGCTGATTTTGCAGTGAGATTGATTTTGAAAATCAACATTCCGCCACTTGAAAATCAACTGCTGCCTACTCATTCATGGTGATAGCATTGTTATCTTTGCAATCCCATAATGTGGTGTAGACTGAGCGGATTTTTAAATGAACGCGTATTGCTTTAGGGTTCTGATGTCACGACAGAGAGTGCACTCGGAGAGTTTTTGCGGAAACGGAGTGCCCTGGAACGCATGCTGATGATCATGCTAGCTCTTATTCTATTCATACTCGCCATTCTTATTATTGCTTTCATCGCATCCACATCCCAACCAATACCAAGCCAAAAAGGTACAGTTTCAACTTAAATATCGTTTCATTTTCCCAATAGGCATCAAAAGAATCTAACCATTGAAATTCGGTGCTTACTTCATCCTTAAGTTAAATGCATCCTTTATCAAAATAGATGAGACAAGAGAAGCGCGTGCATAAGTTGTAAATGACAGGAACTACAATACTTCTCTTGATGTTTTTCAGAAAAAGAACTGTGTTTAACGGAGACATGTGTGCGAGTGGCTGGTGAGATCCTTTCCAAGATGAATAAGTCGGTGGATCCATGTACAGATTTCTACACATACTCGTGTGGGAAATGGCTTACGGAAACTATTCCTCCGGACAACTACGGCTCATGGAACGCTTTCCAGGTGGGTGCTGTCAATTTAAACAGAACAGGTGTAATATTTTTGAATGCTTTTTATCGTAAGTCACTTTTCTTAACTAGTAGTATAAACGTTTGTTCCATTGTATTTACACAAGTGAACTTTCGATCATGGTCAGTCCTCTTTTTTTCCCAATGCAACTCACAAAAGTTACTGCTCAAGAACTTTGTGCTTCCGCCGCTTAGTTTCTTAAGCATTGGCATTTTAATAACTGTGTTGCATAAGCTTTATTGGTGGCAAGTATTAGAAGGCAGCAAGCTAGTATCGCGCAGGTGGTAAGTAATTAGACTAACTCTTTTTTGGTTGTCTTAGCGAAGTGCAGCTTCGCCGCTGTGTCTAATTTACTGCCAGCGAACTTCTATGCCGATAGATCTTCTTTACAGCTGAATAAAGCCAATTTGGGTACTGCGATATTTTTTTTTGTGCAATTGGGCCGCAAACAGAGAGCTGATACTTTCTTCGACCATCTTCTCCACGGTTTTACTTCAGCAGGCCAATAATGCTACTGGTCTATAGGATTTAATTGCATCTGCTGGTTCTTCAGTATTGGAACTATTAATGCCGTCCTGTAGGACGAAAGACTTTTCCTTCCTTGCAGCTTGTTTATCAACTAAAAGAGGGATTTCCGGCCTCCGTTTCCCATTTTTTTTAGCATAAGGTGAACTTCGTCGGGCCCGGCTTTTTTGGGTTCAGAGCGCCCAGGACCCTGAAATTCCAGAGGAAGCTATTGTGAGGTTCTGTATTTTTGGTTTTTCTAATAACCTTTCTAAAGGTAATATTTCCCTTTTTTCGAGTCGCCTCGTTTTACTTTAACCTTGCTTACTTGAGCGTAGGCCTTGCTTGCGAGTAGTGTTTTTTCTTTACTCGAATAGAGAGTTTTGTTTGCGGCATTTATAGGCGGTTTGGGAGACGGTTCTTGCTTCGTCCACCCGATGACCGGATTGTATTCCATACGGCCTAGGTAGGGGTCCCTCGCGCTAAATGTGGCAGCATACTGCCTCCATGCGTGCCTCTTGCTTTTCTCTAATGTTGCATTGAGCAGAGCGCGGCTATTTTGCTGTTTTTCGTGTCTCGTTAAGGTCGTAATTCAATTTTTTCGGCTGTTATCAGTGTTCCAGGTTTCTCGTGTTCCTCCATCAACATAGCTTTGCGTTCTTCCGGGTTTTGTCAGGTGTAGAACCTTTTGCAGCTGCTAGGATTTTTTCGATGAATACTTTTTCCGCAGCTTCCGACGAGACGATGTTTACGTCTGACCCATTGAGTAGTTTCGATTATTCTATCATCCTCGAAAGTTTCGGCCAGTTACAATTTGTCATGTTGAAATATGGTTCAAGCCGGTTGAAATGTGGTTTGAGGCTAATTTTTTCATGAGATTGTAATAGAATTGCCAGAGTACTGCAGTTAAAAAGGAGTACTCCAGTTAAAGTGCAATGTGCAACGGATATGTCTGGACTGGATTTCTTCTCATTACCGTCCATTCTTCTCATTGCAAATAGCTCATTATTCGGCAGCCATTCATCCACCTCTTTACCTATTTCAGCTTCAGGGAGTAGTCTCCCAGCTTTCGTGCCCGTTGATGTCCGCTTAATTGAGGGTATTTTTTGTTGTAGGCGACTTATGGAAATTTGACTTGGCATACTTATTGTCGGATGTTCCTTGTTTTTCTGAGAGACGATAGATATTGAGGAGATCATTCCCTTTTCCGTTTAATTTGAAGGATATCATAATTGATTCCAGTGCCGCCCTTGCTGGGATATCGAGGCCATCGTTTTCCCTGCCTTCCCTTTCCCATGGCTTAACAGCGATTGCAAACCCTCCTCGTGGCCTAGACTGGCAGTTAGGCGTCCGGTGAATTGTCCGGTTTTTCTAAAAACCACCCAGTCTTTCCCTAAAGGCGTTTAGCACAGCCACAATATCCGCGTGTAAATCCGCTACCTGTTTCCTCATTATTGCTTTCTTGCCTCGCCATCGGCCAATATTTATTTGGATGATATTGAGGTTCTTTTATTTTCGTGTCGTTTGCACAGCCGAAATGCACTGTTGTTTTGTCTTTTCGGAGGCACAGTCCCAGGGGAAACCATCGTAAGTTTCATTGCGGATATGGACTAGCGGAGAAATTTTCTCTGCACAGATTTTCTGCACATGACACAAAAGGTAGATCTGTCCGCGATCGACACTGACGAGTCGCAGTATCCTGTTTGTCATCTATTAGCTGGTCCCAGATTCTACTCTATGTTGCCTGCCGTAAGTAACAGGCGTCTTAGATAGGCAGAGATCCCCGGACGCCTCGTCGAAAACCCGCAGCCAAACACTCTTTTGAATGACACCCTTGAATGTGGAATTGGCGGGATCGTGATCTCGGTACCGATTGCCTGCGAAAAGGCTCCAAATTTTGAAGGTCAAAAATGGAGCTGGAGAAATGTACAAAAGGTCACTAATTAAAATAATATAGAGCGTTAAAAATCTGATAGGTTTCAATTTAAGAGATCAGCATCGAATTCCTCTCTAATTTTTATCTAATTTACCTAAGGACAATTAAAAACTTACTTGTGATTTAGCACGGAAGAAGTTCTATCTTGTTTCTATTAACCGATGAGAACCCAAGGACAATTAAAAATTTGACGGTCTGAGTTATCGCGGAAGAAGTTTATTCTTGTTTTGAAAAACCGATTTGTTTTTCAAGTAACATTTTCTCCTGATACAACATGCGCATTCAGTATGTAGTTTCCTACGGATCACTCTTTTGTATAAAACTCGCAGTTTGGAGTTATTGTTCTGACCATTTATAGCAGGGAGGAACTTTGTATTTGGGTGTATACGGAGTCAGTGAACGTAGTGAAAACTTTTTCGGTCTTGATGATAATTCAAAGAATAAATAAAGAATAAAGAGCTCTAAGTTAATTAAATCTTCTTGTTAAAGTTTTGTGAAATTTGAAAAACAAAAGACGTGGACCAAATGAATAATCTCCTCTTAAATCCCTTTAAACAGGTTTACTCTTTCTGCCCTTCAAATTCCAACATTTTCCGTGTTTGCTTATTTCTGTTAGCTAATTGCCGTTTTTGGAGTGGGAGATGAGCGTTGACTTGGCTAATGGTTTACAGGGTCCAAAAACAAGTTACTATATTTTTTCAAATTCCTTGTGCATATTGACATTTTTACAATTTACGGCTTTTTTCCATGACAATTGTCCTATTTTGCTGCAGCTTGGCAGGTATTTTGCAGTGGGATTTAGACTAGAGTGTGAAAAAACCGCTTTGTATCTGATTTGAATCAGAGATGCGCTACTAGGTGCTGAATGAAGAACTGAAGCTGAAAACGAAGCAAATCCTGGATGACTGGGGCAGTGAAATGAAGGCTTTGGCTGCGAGTGAAAAAGAAGACCAGGAAAGAACAAAGAGAGCAGCTGAACCAAGACCAGCAGCAAAGTTGCTGGACTCACAGAGGAAAACTTACACTTTTTACAAATCATGCGGCGGAAATGCAAGAGAAACGTTGGGTGCGAGTCCAATGCTCAAAATTCTTGAGGTACCAATATAATTCTGCTGGGCTTTTACATAAAAAAAGTGCGCGAAAGTTGTGAAAACAAACGAAAGTTAATTGAGCTCTTAAAAAGAGAAATGTCGAAGTTCGCACGAAGTCTGGTTTACATATTACGAGCATTCATTGCAAGGGAGACTGATCTTATTGATTTTAAAATAGTCTGATTCATTTTAATTGATTTTCTATTAGATATTATAGTTCATTTTCTGGTTTAGTTTATCGATGGATCGACGGTGTTTGCTGATAATGCCACGGTAGCCAATATAGACTTCAAGGTGACAGACAGGAAGATAACGGAGAAGTTCGGAGGCAGCTTCTTTTACGACATGGCAGTATATCCCAAAAATTCAAACACCAGTAATAACATCCTGACGGTAAGTTACCGAAGCTAAAACTTTGCGATTGTTTTGTAAATACTGTTTATACTGATGATTTATAATAATTTTCAGATTGGTCCACGAACTGACTTAAGTTTGGGCACATACTCTACTTACAAAAACATCTCCGATACAGACAACCGAATGAAGGCATTCAAATACGCGATGGAAGAGGCGTTCTACTTACTCACTCGCTCACTTTCAAACGTAGTTCTTGACAATGCACTCAAGACAAGAATTGCGGGAAAGATCCAGGAAATAATCGACCTGGAGATCAGTTTTTCCAAAATCATCACGGACCAAGATGCGATCCAAACAATGCCGACGGAAGAGACTTACGAGATCACGACTCTGAAAAGACTGAAAGAAATGGTGCCTCAGGTGGATTGGGATGGGATCCTGGGCAATTTATTCACCGGAGTGGGCATCAAGATCACTGACGACGAACCCATTCAGCTACTAGACCCTCTCTTCTTCCTAAGAGTTGGCGATTTTGTCAGCAACTCTTCGAAAGAGTACGCTCTACTTTTGACTTTCTCCCGTCTATTCAGTTCTAATCATAAACCAACTGGAAATGACAACGCCTGTCTTTTGAAAAATTGTAGAAATGATTGCGAAAAGTGCGTTCACCATGATTAGGATATATGGGTGACAGATTCAAGTTAAATAGCTATGTCGCTCTTTCTTACTTCGAACAGTCTTTCTAAATTATTTCAAAGCCAAATATTTTTTGGCAGAAAGAAAGTAAAATTTTTGGATAAAATTTCACCTAGCAGAGTAATGTATTTACAAAAACTATCTTAGTAGCATGTGAAATTGATTGAAAATCAATTGACTTGACTATATTACGCTTTATAGTTCTTAAATTTAATACATGCACCGCTAAACTAGTTCTCAAAATAGCCGGCTATTCTAGCATATCATCGTTATTTGTTATGATATTAGTCACTTTTTAGGTAATGAAGTAAAAATTTATTAAGCTTCTACATCTGCAATTTAGAAAAACTGCATGACTGTTCATATTTTTTGCTGTAGGATTCTGCAGAACTATCAGTTCTGGAGAGTGATCGACATTTCGATGAGTAGTATTAACCATGACTTCGAAATCATCAAAGCCAACTTGACCCTGGTGGCAAAAGGATCTAACTCCGGAATGCGTCCTCGATGGGAGTAAGTCAGTTTGTTTTATTCTGACGTTTTGGATTTTGGACAGATTCCCAAAGGTATAAAATATATGTAATCTTTTCTACGAAAGGGCGATTGAAGCAGGCGGAGAAAGCACGAACGTTTGGTTATAATAGCTTAAAGAACGTTGAAAATTGCAGTTTAATTAAATTGGGAGGCCAGTCTCTCATCGTGTCATTTTAAGTTTTTGACAGTCAGTCTGAATTGCGAAAAAAATGTAGACAATTCAGGCGAGATCTTTACCACTACGAAAGCAAGGGTATTGAAACCGGGTAATAAACTATTTTTCCAGTAAAAAACTTTGGTGACAGGATGACTGAAGTTGTTGATGACCATTTGTACTTCGTCAACAAGAAGAAAATTTTTGAGCACATCTGAATACCAGTTTTGTATTCGAAATTTGTTTCACATGTTGATTGTTATTGTTGGCTGGAAAAGTTTCAGCATACAACAGTTTTGGCCTAAGGTTTCGAAGCCTCTTTTTGAGTCGTTTGAGCAAAAAAAATGATTTTATTGAAATGTTTTGAGGGGAGACCTGATATAAGTTTTCACGTTTTTCTAGGAAAAAAAAATCCTTTTTTTTCGGGACAATTTGTGTATGCTCAAGAAATGTCGGCTTTGTTACCGCTTTGTAAGCTTCATTTCGATGCTTATAACCCTTGCTATATCAAGGGTATTGCAATAGGGTAATATACTTTGCCCCGGAAATCATGAAGTCACAGATTGGTCAAAATTAGAAATGGTAAATTTCGTTTAAGTTCTTAATTAATTCTAATTTTTTGTGTCTCCAGCACACTTGGTCTGAAGGTAACGAATACGCCTGGGACGGCAAAGGTCGTGGGTTTGAATCTGACAGACCTATTTTTTTCAGACGGGAAGTATTCCGTTTCACAAGAAACTGGTCGGCTCATTATTTGTCCTCTTATGTTTTGTCAGCTTAGTTATCGTATTTTGTAATTGTTTTTTTTTTTAGTTTTTTCACATTATAGCTTCTTTTGGTGTTCAGATTTGCCTCTGACATTTGTAATTTTACTAGCCTTGACTTTTATGTTCTTATTTCTTTGCTTAAAAACTATATTCTGCTCAAATGTTGTCGGCCTATTTTTTATCGGCTTTGTGACCTAATTCCGACTCGTTTCCAGGTAAACAAAATTTTTATGCTCCCGCTTAATTGCACAAAATGCTAAAGATATAAAAGTTTTTGGTTCAAGTGTTTCATGACAGCCATTTTTTTGGCTTTTTTCTTTCGGCTAGATAGGTTTTGGCGTATATTATATCGGTTAAATGGCCATATTGCGTCTTTTGGCGAGCGAAAAAATTGTGTGTGTGTGTGCGCGAGTGCGTGCGTGCGTGTGTATGTCTGTATGTCTGTGGTTTGAGGAGGAAGGGGACTTATTAACTTAAAACTTGTTGATTTTTTTCGGCTTAAAGGGTTTCTGCAAAGGTATTCCTAGGCTTTAATTGTTGCAAATTAAAGTGTTTCTTTAGACAGTGTGTGAATCTCATCAACGCACATAGCATAGTGGGCAATGTGATCGGGGCAGAGTTTATCCGAGACTACTTCAACCCGTCTAGTAAGCAGAAAGTGCGAGACATGATCCAGAGCATCCGCGACTCCTTCGTCTACAGTCTGGATTACCTCACGTGGCTGGACCCCGCCACCAGAGCATACGCAGTAAGGAAGGCCAAGGCCATGCACGACTTCCTCGCATACCCGGATCAGCTGCTCAACAACACATATGTGGGAAATCTACTCGAGGGGGTAAATGAACATCCATTTTTCAGTTTCGCTCATCTGTCACAAATATGAGATTGTAAAATCAATCAAGAGTATTTAAAAGCGCAGGTTTAAGTTTTTGGTTTCAGACGTTAATTTAAATAGCATTTGGACTTTTTGAAGGCTATCTCCGATAACGAAACTGAATCTACTTGAATGTGAAATGGTTGGAAATTATTAAAGGTTGATTTTGACGAAGATTCGTACTACGAAAATCAGTTGCAGCTGGGCTACTTTTCATCGCGACAGGATCTCCTGAAATTGCGCAAACCAGTCGACAAATCAGAGTAAGAGCAGCGGGACTATTTTGGTCTGCGAAAATATTAGACGAATTTTTTTGTTAATGTCATTTGAACTTGGCATTGTTCTCCAGGTGGGAGATGACTCCGCAGCAGATCAATGCTTACTACGTTCCAGCCAAAAACTCTTTCAGTAAGTCAAAATAATTGTGAATTTCATTTGCATTTTTCTAGAGAACAACATTTCAGTGACTATTCGTATTGTTGAAATCATTTTGGCATTGGATACTTTGTTTTGAGTATTTGGCAATACTTATCACGAATAGAAGAACGTTTGGTATCTTTTCAGCCTTTCCCGCGGGAATTCTTCAGAAACCTTTCTACTCTGAGGAGTACCCGATGTCCTTCAATTACGGGGGCATCGGGGTGGTGGTGGGCCACGAGCTCACTCATGGATTTGATACACAGGGGCGCACATATGATTTGGAGGGCAACCAGCGAGAGTGGTTCAAGAACGAGACGGCCCAGAAGTTCACCGATCTATCTCAGTGCTTCGTCAAGCAGTACTCCCACTACCATGTGTATGATATGCCGGTCAGTACACTTCGCCATCCGAAATTCATGTAATAGCGTTTCACTACATATGCTTTCTCAAACAATTGAATTAATTACAAGGATAGCTGGTTGCTGTGCAAGTAGCACAGAATGTTCCCACCACTTTCTCATAATTTTTTTTTCAAGTTAGTGTCTCTTCTTCTATCTCGTGTCATGATAGAGCTATACAAAACCGTAAAAATTTAGTGAATTTGACTACAATTGTCTTCAAAAAAGAGGAAAAAATTTTCCAAAAAGAATTTTTTAGTTATTTTTGTTTTTTTTTGCACTAGAAATTTCAAATATTTTAGAAAAAAAATTTTGTGAGAGACTCGCTATATAAGGCATTTTAGTAAAATTATCAATTTTTAGGCAAATTTGATAATTGCATACATAACGAACGTTACTCGATTGCTTTACACGCTCGAAAATAGATGAAAAATTGAAAATTTCAAAGCTGGTTTTCTCGACACTGGGATTTTTTTAAAATCACGACTGAAAGGGTTGTAGTATGATATATCACGCACCCAGTCCGATGATTATTTGTGGTACCTGGTTTTGCGTGGAAATAAAAAAACAGAAAAAAAACTAAAACTTACCTGTATACAAAGTTCCTCCCCATTTTCAATGGTCAGAACATTAATTATTATCCTTGCGATAAGCAAGGGTATTACAATCGGGTAATAGACTTTTTTCCCGTAAACAACTGTCCACAGGACTCAGTGGGCTCCTGATGTACCTTGATTCATATTGAATTCAAATTTCGTAGTGTTTCTTGCACACTTAGTCTGCTAGTAACGAATACGCCTGGGACGGCAAAGGTTTTGTGTTCGAATCTGACCAGGACCACTTTTTTTTGAAAAAGGTAAATATTCTGGATCAAAAAATTTCGGCCTATTATTTTTCTGCATATGTTTTTTTGGCTCAGTTGCCACATCAAAGAATCGTTTATTTTAGCTGTAAACAATTTCCACTGCAGTTACTTTAAGCATCCGACCGAATCGAAATATGCTTTTCAAATTGGTTGTAATTTTACCAGCTCGATTTATTAAATTTTTTTTCATTTTTTTTCTTTTTTTTCGGCTTTATAATTGTCGACCCGGTTAATATCGACTTTGTGGCCTCTTTTTGCGTTGTTACGACCGAAGAAAATTTTGTGCATGTATGCGTGCTCTGAGGGGAAAAAGGACTAAACATTTTTATAAGTTTAGAATTTTAGGTTTCGGTTGATATTTTCGGCTTTGTTACCGCTTAGTTATTATAAATTCAAATCCAATCAGCTATCTGGCGTAGAGGTAAAACAACAGCTTAGATGGCAAAGGCTTGCTGTTCGAATCCGGCCGGGTCCTGTTTTGCAAACAAGAGTTTTTGTGCTTTTTCGGACTATCGTCCGATGTATTTTTTATCGGCTTGGTTCCCGTAGATCGGTGGTTCAGCTTTATTCCAAGTTACTGTAACCCCCATGCTTGAGGCGAAAAAGCCCGGGAGTTCGATTCTGATTGAGATCTGTTTTATTTTGCATATAGAAAATTTTCTTGAAAAGTTGTCTTCTTCATAGCATTCCCAAAGCTCCTGTTTTCGCAATTACAGATAAAGTAATTACTAATGAGCGAAGCTCGTCTTTTCGCGACTCAAGGTCGATTTTTCTTGCGTCTTGAACTTCCACATGGAAATTACGTGCAACTACGCAAGCGGTGCTTGTTGTAGTGCGGGGTCACTTTTAAACATATTTCATTGCAAAATTTGGGGGCTAAGATAACTAAAGCCTTTTTAGGGAGGAGGATGTTCCCTTGTTTCAAATTTAGATTTTTGAGCCAATCTGGATCGAGTTTTTTGAATGCAATGCTGAACAATTTGAATCCAAAATAAATACTGGGGTGCAAGATCTTAATTTCGTCTCATTAGCAGAGAAGCTGTTCATTTAATCTTTCCTGCGAGATTTTTAACATCATTATCAAAAACCGCTTAATTGACGTCAAATAATTGCCACCTCTTTTTTCTATACAAGCATATATGCTTTCTAAGGCATATTTATTCTAATCAATATGCCGCATTGGGAATTTTTGGGCCGAGAAATTAGTTACGATGTCAACAGATGTTTTTTGAGAAGTTCGAAATCATCAAATCAGCAGCTGAAGCTGTTTTTGTTATTAATTTTCACTTGTGCGCTGCTTTTTGAGTTGGCCATGAATCTTGAGCTCAGAAATATTTAGACAAGCGAGCATTAATTTATATCAAAAGTTCTCTTTTTCCAAATTGAGTTAAAATTGTTCTTGAATTTCTTTAAATTGAAAAGTTTTTCAAAAAAAGCAAGTCAGATGTTTTTCTGTTAACTTGCGTTCTCGGCGGCCTGCTGGCTATGTTTAATTTTATAAAAACACTTTTGCTGCATAATGTCGGCAGTTTAAAAGCTTATCAGTGGCTGGCGTCAGTGGAACAGTTGTATAGGGCAAGCGACTTGAGGACCCTCAATCCATTCTATTTGCTTTTCAATTCTGAAAGACAGTTACAATTTTCCTTCTGTAATGAAATTTCGCAGCGTGAACATTAAAACATTTTGTACGCATTCTTCATTAGTGTCCCCTTTCCTCCCTCACCATGAAAGTTCCTCGTAACAAGGCATAAAAAGTGCTCAGAATAGCTATTTTGTTCAACTTGCAAAATTTCATTACGTGGCAACGTTAAATTAGTTTTCAAAATTGAATTTCTAATGAAGGGATAGAGTAGAGCTGTTATTTGTGCTTTGTATCGAAATATCAAGCACCAAGTCGTGAAATGGCTTCAAAAATGGATGAAGTTGAAAAATATGCTATATAAGGGGGGGGATTAAAACCTTCACATTTACACTTTTTGTATTATTTAAGGATTTCACTTGAACTAAGGATTCGCAGCTGACGTTTTGGACAGCGAAAAATATGAACAGTTTGTTTTGCTATCCTAAGCAAATACTTATCTATTTGGACTTGATGCTGTTTTCCTCATTCTTCTGATAGTGTAACATCCTCTGTTAATTAACTGCAAAACGGAAAAATTGTATAGGTTGACGGAGTGTTGACTCTGGGGGAAAACATTGCAGACAACGGCGGAATAAAAAACTCCTATCAGGTGACTGTGCGAAGTGGCTTTTGCTTTCATTTCATTGCACCCTCCCTAAGTGCTAATTCTTCATCCATCCATCCATTTGTCAAAAATGAGATATTCAGCCAACTTGAGCGAACACGTCTAATTTGTTACGAATTAGATGCGTGGGATACAAGCGGATCAATGAAGTTGCTAGCTTCCATTTATCTGATAACTGAAAGAAGAATCTAATTTACATGCATTTGGAACTGAGTGGTTGCGAATAATCTAATATTTTCAGGCCTACAAGGAGTATGAGCGGGAACATGGAAAGGAGTTGATCTATCCAGGACTCGGGTTGACTCACGATCAGATATTTTTCGTCGCTTTCGGACAGGTAATCATGTTTACTTTTGCAATAGCAAGTTTTTCGTAATCAGGCAATAGACTTTTTCTGTGAACATTTTTTATTCCCATTTTTGAGTATTAGAAGCCAAGACGCTAGGGCTACTTTGCTGAAGTAAACGAGGCTTAGGCGGAAGCTACGTCGGAGGTTGAATACCGATAACTGTGGTTTTGTTATTTTTTGAAATGGATTTTTACAGGTCATCTCTGTTCATTTAAAAAACGGATGGGAATTTCAGGCTCTCCAAATATTGCGATAAATCGAGCATGAATTTGATTTGCTCGAGTCTGTTGGTTATGTTTGGCTGTTGGCTATGTTTTAGATTTGGTGCAATATTCAAACTGAGGAGGCAGCCAGATATCGAATAGAGTCAGATAGTCACGCGCCGGAGCAAATCAGGTGAAAAACTATTTAGAAAACATACTCTACTCCAGCTCATTTTTGTTTGACTCCGATTTCACATGCTCTGCTTGACGTTTCAGAGTGCCGGGTGCAGTGTCAAACTTGAAAGAATTTGCAGAGGCGTTCAACTGCAAGCGCAACACTCCTATGAATCCCCAGGAAAAATGCGCAGTATGGTAAAACCGAAACATACTCATCCCATTATAACAGCAGGAAACTTGTTTTTAGTTATCATGAATATGACAAACGACTCTATACCAGGTTGTGTACAGTGGCAATTTGCATCTGACAGTCCCTTTCATTTTGAGAAGAAGAACAAAATAGTTCGAACCTTTACGGTCTTGTTTCAAATGATTTACGCATGCTATTTTGTATATTATCAATCGAGCAATTTGGGAATGGATTCCAAAACTCTTGGCTCTGCTATGGGTAGTTTACTTGTTAGTCTGTTTCCTTCTGTGTACATTAAAATTAGATAGCAGTGTTGTTGTGTTTCGTTGATCGTTTTCGGTGCTGCATTAGTTCAGTGTCACGATGCTAGAAGGTACAGACGAGATAGCGAGAGAGACCGAGAGATATTGCATCGTGGCTCGCTGTTAGATTGCGTTTAAATTGGTTTCAATTTAAGTGTAAAAGAACGAAGTGATTTTCACTTTTATAGGTCCTGATGATTTATAGGTCCTTTGCGATTGACTTGTGATTTCTGTTTAGGTTCACTTCGTTTCCTCTATTACATGAAGGCAAACTCCACTAGCAAGCAGCAAAAGTGAATAATTTGTGAAAAACGCAAATGACTTCTACTTTCAAAAAAGGGCTTTATTTTTCTGAATTCACAGCGGATTGAAAAAAAATACAGTTTGGTCTAGCTTTTTCTAAATGGGATTTTTATACGAAAGAAGTATCACTCATAAAACGTCCTTGAAATTCAAAGGGCTTTAACGTGATATGTTATGTCTTCTAAATTCGAATGAAAAATGTTCAAAAGTTTTCAATCAAATTTTTTTTTCGGTTTCATTCTTCCACGTTTTTTCCAACTGCCTGTTGGCTATGTTTTTAGTCAGTTATTCGAGAAGTTGAATGAATGTCAAATTCATTGAAATGGGATTGCATTACCAACCTACTTTTGAGAACGAGAGTTTCTGCTAACGTCAAATTCACTTCACTGAGTTGTACTAATACGCATGTATAGTAGTATACTTAGACATGTTTTCCTTTTGGAACCCCTGTTTCTATTTTAAAAATTGTTCCCTGAACGTGTAGATTAAGCTTGTGAAAAGTTCATCGCAGTTTATCTCAACCTAACCCTGTTCATATTGATGTATATTTATTTTGATCAATAATTTTTAATTTCAGTAATTAATAATTGTGAATTTATTTTTAAACTAGCTTTTGACTTCAAGCAAGAGGAAACTGTTTAAGAAGCAAAGACTATTAGAATCACTACTCTGCTGCTCAACTCTGATAATGGATAGGATTAATATGCAATGTTGGTTTAGGGACATTATCATCGACATTTTTATGGAGATGAATTGTCTCAATTAGTTCAATTTCCTCAAATAATTTACAGAAAAGGTTCATCTTTGAAAATAAAAGAGGTTTAGTATGCTATAATTTCGTTCTGTTGTTTCAAGTTAGTAAGTTTTAAAGAACAAAAAGAAGAATCTAAGTTTTTAAAGAACGGTTTGTTTGTTAGTTTGTTTTTTCAATAATATTGTTCACTCAAAATTTTCTTCAAGTCACACTAGATTCATTCTTTATTTCACTTTAAATCATTTATTAAATGGAAAGCAAATAACGCAATTGGTTAGCAAAAAATCAAATGACTTTTGACGTGAAAGTGCTGGATCTGCTTAACAATCGTCACCCCCAGGGTATCTAGTACAGAGTTGCCACTACTATAAAAAAATCACTTCATTAGCACTTCAGCGTTTATTAATAATTCAAATGTTGCTGCGTTCTGATTGGTCGAAAATGCAACTAGCCTCAGAGGCGAAAAAATCAATTTGGTCCACCTAAAAAAAAGTCGGTAAAATTTTTGAATTTTTTTTGAAAATTCGTCCCCTTCGAGAAAATCCTAGATCCGCCTCGGACTAACTTGAACTAATTTCTAATTACCCCTTTCTTGAAAGGGGTAATTGTTAAGTAGATCCAAAGTGCTTGAGCGCAAATTGATTTACAAGCAAACGCTTGTGTTATTACAAAAGTACCCACTTTCAGGGGCCGATTTGGGGTAGGGGAGTTGGTGGACACCCCCTTTCAGGGATTCGACACCCTGCCGATCCAAAGGGTCCCACCTTAGTACTATTTTGAGATATCCATTTTTGGTGACGGCACCTGAAATTTTTTAAAGGCGCCTTCGAAACAGAGTCTTTGTAGTGCTTTGGGAGAGCTCGGAAAATCATTTTTGTCGATCTAAAAAAGGTCGGTGAATTTTTGAAATTTTTTTTTGAAAATCCCCCTAGAGAAAATCCTAGATCCGCCCCTGCGCATTTTCCAACCTAACTTACAAGTTACACTGGTGCGGATTGAAATTCAGTATAACTGTTTTGCACATCTTGTGTGTCTTAGCTGGTGTGTGAATCGTTTCATGGAAGCGCATTGATATTTAAGAGTATTAACTATATCAGCAAGGCGAGCACTCTAAAGGGTCTTTCTAAATAAGGTTCGAATCCAGAAGTCGGCGCATTTTAATTTTCAAAGCTTTTCGTCTTAATTTATTATTGTGCCTTCTTGAAGCTCATGTTGGATCTACCTAACAATCCCCCCCCCCCCCTATTGTATCTACTAAAAAATTTGCACCCCTGTAAAGAAACAGTAAATTCCAACTAGAGAAACAGTAAATTCCAAGTTGTATGTAAATTCGAATTTGGCTGCATTCTGATTAGTCGAAAATTCGCTGCAATTAATCTGCTTAACAATCTCCCCCTCATTTTCTTGAAAGGGGAGATCGTGAAGTAGGTCCTGCGTGTTTGCAAAGTGCAGCTTCGCATCTGTTATTTTTGGAAGAGGAATAAAAAGTCGACCTATTCATCAATTTTACTTGTGAGTGCTATTGAGCAGTATGACCAGGTTCAAAATTCAAACTTTTGTATAAATTGCTTACCTAAACGCCCTCTATATGACTGTTTTCACGAATCACGCTGTAGAATATGCCATGAAAAACATCTCACAATTTTACTTGACAGTTTTGAAAAAGAAAGTCTCGTTATAAACAATTATGACTTAGTCTGTAGTAGTTTGAATTTTTCAAGCTGCCTACTGTAGAAGTTTTTGCCCTTGACAAAACAAATAGAGCAATAAAACTACGTGCATAACTAGACACTTGAAGTTCTTTTGGTTCGAAGTCTTTTTGTATGACCGAAACTTCTTTTGGTTGGACAGTTTGTGGGCTACTCCCAACACATGTTTAAACAATGCATCTTTGAGAAATTATCAGAAAATAATTTTGTTGATCAAGACCTAGAAAAACTACAAGGTTTTCGGAAAAAAGAAAGTATACATGAGTCACAGGCAGCCAAATTCAATGATGATAAAAGTATGTATACTGAACATTTTGATAAAACAACAAAAACTTCGAGAAAAATCGAAAAAATGTCAGATTACATTTTAAACCATCAAAATCAGTTCTGAATGAAAATACTGGAGAATTTTCGCCGGATATAGGGTAAACGTCAAGAACAGCGTAACAAAGAAACTAAAATCGGAAAAACCGAAGAAGCCAAAAAACAATTTATCTTTTTTTCGAGGAAATGATTTCCTTAGGTCAGATTGAAAAAGTACCAGAAAAAATAATTACCTATCTGCGGTTAAATATTATGTGATGTCACATCATGCGGTTTGGAAACAAAATTCAGTCACGACCAAATGTTGTTAACGGATCGGTAAACCATCCAACGGAAAAAGTTTGAATGATTGTCTTTTGGTCGGGCCAAAACATCAACCAGATCTGCTAGAAATGCTTTAAAAATTCAAGTTTTCCAAAATAGGGTTTTCCGAAAATGTATCGACAAGTAGAAATACTTTAAAAAGATAGAAATTATCATCAAACTTTTCGGCGTTCGAAAGCCAAAGATGAAATCAAAAATTACCCCGACGAGGGTATTTTCTGAAGTTTCGTAAAGTTCCGATCATGCCATCAGGTTTCTTAATGATTCGTCTGATTTCCACAGGTCATATTGAAAAAGTACCAGAAAAAGATAAATATCTATCTGCGGTTAAATATTATGTGATGCCACATCATGCAATTTGGAAACAAATTTCAGTCAAGACCTAATGTCGCGCTGTTGTTAACAGATCGGTAAAACCATCTAACGGAAAAATTTTGAATGATTGCCTTTTGGTCGGGCCAAAACAACAACCAGATCTACTAGAAATGCTTTAAAAATTCAATTTTTCCAAAATATGGTTTTCCGAAATCGTAACGAGAAGTAGAACTAGACTAAAAAAGATAGAAATTATCATCGAACTTTTCGGCGTTCGAAAGCCAGTGATGAAATTAAAAACTGCCCCTGACGCGGGTATTTTATGAAGTTTTGTAAAGTTCCGATCCTGCTATCAAGGTTATTAATGATGATTTGTCTGACTTCAGCATTGATAGAGAGGTCAAAAAGGGAAGAAAAAAAAGCAGTTAAGTTTTTTGGGTGGTATTGGTTGCTTTGAGAAAACAATGAAACTCTACCATGGAATTATTGATGCTCTAAAGTAATCAGGAATGAAAATACGGAAATGGTCGAGTAATTGTAAAAAAGTCCTAGACCAGATACCAAGCAATGTACATAAAAATGCTAATCTTTTTATTACTAAGATAGTTTTCACTTTCAGTCAAACGAAAAAAATGAAACAGACATTTTTTTGGAGTATAGCCTTACTGCCACTAACAAAATCAACTTAGAAAAAAAAATCGGAGAAAAAATAGGTAATTATGGAATCAATTTTGTCCACTGAGTCTCTTTGTCCACTGAACCTGCAATTTTGCCTGTTAAGGAGAAGTTGCAACGACTTAGTTCAGCAATTATAACTAGAAGGAGAATTTCGAGCAAATTGGGTAAAGTTTTTGACCCCATGGGTTTAGTAACTCATCTTACTGTTACGCCCTAAATTTTATTTTAAATGACTTGGAGTGCTGAACATGTTTGGGACAATCATGTAGAAATTGAAATTGCATCGCAATTCAGAAACTGTATCGATGATTAAGGTTTTTTTATCCCAGCTAAAAACAACTAAGATTTGTATCTACAGACAACTTACGGGAAGTTGAATTGCATTTATTTTGCGATGCTTGTTTTGCGCTGTCTACTCCAGAACAAAATTCAGGGAAAAACTTATTTGCAGACTTGTTCCATCCAAATCCAGATTAGCACTAAAGAAAACTGTTTCAATTCCTAGACTAGAGCTTTGTTCTATGGTTTTAGGCACGAAACTGTTAAATATTTTCCTACAAGCTTTGAGCTCGTTAAAGTTTCCAGTGAAAACTTTAGCATACAGCGATTTGACTATTGCTTTATCATGGATAAGATTCATTCCCATCTAATTTTCTACTTTTCCTGCAAATAGTGTGGCAAAAAAATCAGAGAAGTTTCCCAAACTTAATTGGGTTGCACGTACCCGCTCATGAAAACCCTGCAGATTTTTTAACAAGGCCCATTAAGACCCAAGAGTTGATCAACCTCATATTATGAAAGAAGGCCCGTAAGAAAACAAAAGAAAATTTGTCGATAAATCTTTGGCGTGTATCGAAAATGAAAGCAGTAATGATGTCCAAATCAATAGCTCTGGTACAACTAATGTAGAAAACGGATGTTGTAATGAGTTCAAAAGAAACACTTCTGTGAAAACAATTTTTATCAGTTTTGAAAGTAAGCCTGGTTATCAGAAATGCATTAAGTTAACCAAATTAACAATTCGGTTGGTCGGAAACTCTAGGAAGTAGAAAATTGACGAAAACAAAATATGTTCAGAGGCTATACAGTTATTAGTGCAAGACATACAAAAACTTAGTTCCGAAATGAAATCGACTGCCAGTGAAATAAAAACCCGATCATTAATACTTCGAAACTATTTCGGTAATAATCTTTTCTCGATGATTCTAGTCTAATAAAAGTAGGAGGACGGTTGCAGCTGCTGACTGTTTGAGTCAATCCGCAAAGTTTCAAATCAATTTACCCGGAAAAATTCATTTTTCGAAATTAATTTTGGTTGATAGCCATGAAGGTTAAAAACATATTAATGCAAACAATACTGTTGCGCATCCAAGGCAAAAGTTTTGGATTTTAGGAGCAAAAATATTGCCAGAAATAATTAGCAAATGCATTGTTTTGGATTCAGTTCGAGAAATATGACACAATTCATTGGTGACCTACCGCATGAACGAGTAAGTTCTTCCCCTCCATTTTCTAATGTTGGTATAGATTTTGCAGGTCAACTTTTCTACAAAAATGGCAGTACTAAAAAAATGCTACTTGGTGGTATTTATTTGCTTATCATCAAAAGCTGTGCACCTCGACTGCGCTAATTCACTAGATGTTCAAGAATCCATGAAAACAATTCGGAGATTTATAGCCCGAAGGTAATGTCTTTCAAAACTGTTTTCTGACAATGGTTCTAATTTCAAGGGGTTAACTACTTAGTTATTGAAAGTACGGAAACTTTTGGTTAAAATTTAGGGAAATAGTAATTCATTTAAATCGTGATATAGGACTTAACTGGTATATGGTACCTGTATGGACAGCTCATTTTGGTGGTTTATGGGAGGCAGCCGTTAAATCTCGAAATTGTCAATGAGGAAAATTTTTGGAACAATTGCCGAGCTACATTTAGATGAAATTTACACAATCGTTTGTTAAGCAGAGAGTATTCTTAACTCCAGGTCACTTGCATCACTATCAAATGATTCGGCAGACCTCCATTCACTCACACCTTCAAGGCTAAACAACGGTTTTAATACATATCAATTGCCTATGGTTTGTGATATAAGCAAGAACAGTTTGGAAATTGATGAAAAGAGTCCAACAAAGCGGTTTAACTGTTGTTTTTGGAAGCGATGGACAAAGGAATATCTCAATCAACTTCAAACTGCTTAGAACAAATTAACTTAAAAAGCGATTTGGTTTTTATTTTGGATAACTCACCACTTCTAATGTGGCCATTGGGATTGGTGCTTGATGTTTTGCCAGGAAATGATGAATTAGTCCGAGTTGCAATAGTTAGTACTGGAAACTCAAAACAACAATACGGCCAATCGTCAAATTAGGAAAATTGCCCTTGTATTAACATAATTCTAAACCAAGCATTTCTCTCTATTCGCCTTAATTTTTGATCAAGGGATCAATGAGGGCCGGCAATGTACAATCAATCATCGTCAACTAAGAGTAATTTGATGCAGTGAAGAATTATGAACTAAGATTTGCAGTGAACTCATTAATTAACCGGGAATGAATCAACATTGATTTCTATCTTTTGCAACCAGTCGTAATTATACTTCTACACACAAAAGCTGCAAGATCAAAATTAACTCTATCCAAACTTAGTTTAACTCCGGAAAAATTAGTATTGAAAGCCTGATTTCAATTTTAAAAATCCAAGAGTTTTTCTGCAAAAAATTAAAGAGTTTTTCTGCAAAAAAAAAACATTTTCGAAAAGTTTTACTTTTGTCTTTTTTTGTCAGTCATTTTTCAAAGACACCTGTTGTCGATTACGTCAAAGTTCGCTTGACGAAACTAATTAACGACACTAAAAAATGACACTTTCGACGACACTTAAAACGACATGTGATGGGAAATTTATCGGTTTTCTTTTATGAAGGTGATCGGAACATTAGGTGCTACTTCTACAGCATTCGGCTATCTTTTTTAATTTTTGCGTGCGTGTTGTATTTTTATTGAAATAGTTTTAGTAGTCATTTTTTTAAATTGTAATCACGGTGCTAATAATAAGGTACAGTTAGAACGAGCATAAAATTCATTTTTCTTTTTGACTTGAATCCATCCGTAAAACAGCATACTTTCTAAAATCTTCGTCCCACCACATAATCACGTGGCTGAAACAAAAAAGCCACAAAAAATTGATTCAAGTAAAATACTGATTAAAATGACAAAATATTCAAAACACTGGTAAAAACTCAGTAACTTCTTATATACTTATACATCTGCTCCGAGAACCCAATTATAGTTCACGCCAGACAAGTGCCAGAACTTCTCCAAATCCTTCTCAAAAACGCCTGTTAATATCTTTTTTCCAGCAGGGGTCAACTTTTGGGGGTAGGAAGAATGCCCCCTGTGCTTGGGGAAACAGTAGTCCGTGGGATTGTAGCAGTAGAACCCTTTGTCTTCATTAAATCCAAAATCATCCTCTTTAAACATGTGCATGATCCCCAAAAAATCCTCTACCTGTCTCAATGTACTGGTCGGGTTTTCTTTTGCAAACTTTTCTCCGTCCAAAATAAGGAACTGGTCTCTTCTGAAGTAATTCAACCACCTTTGAAAGTGTTCACCATAGAGTGAGCTGCGTCTATAGATAGAATTATCGGCTATAACTTCGGAGGTCAAATTTTTTAGGTCAATTCGGTGATGTGCTTTTGTGTGGAAAGCGTGTGAAATGGATCGGCGGATTGGATCTCGCACAATCAGGATGAGTTTGAGATCTACTCCTAGGTGCTGCTGGTACTTCAACACGCGCTCGGCAGATTCTACCTTTGTCAAATAATTTGGCGTTTTCTCAATTGTTATTTGATGTTGCCAAGATTTTGGCATCTGTCTCAAGTATAGCTCGTAGTTTTTTCCGTTTGCTTGCTTGTCAAAATAATGCAGTTCTCTATGAGGGCCGACTAATGTGGGGTGAAAAAGTAGGAACTTGAGAAGGGACGTGGTTCCGCTTTTCTGGGAGCCTATGATGAGAACTGTCGGAAAGCGTTTTTTCTTCGTTTTATCTTCTGGCCCGTAGTCTTCCTCGGTTTGGTTGACTTTGTCATAATCAAAACTGTCTTCACCTGCATCCTCATCCAAATGTCGAGTATGAAGACCATTAAGAGAATCTGTAGAATTACTTTTGTCTCCGTCGTCTTTGAACAGATAATAAAGAAAGGTTAGAACTACAAGCGCTGAAATTAGGAGACGGGCGTTTCGTCGGACCATTTTTGATTAAAACACCAAAGCAGCACCAAGTTGCGTTGATAAGTTTACTTTTCTGTTCATTCAATAAAATGGAGCTAATACTGATTGAAAAACGCATAAGAAAGCGTCTACAGCATCTACAGACATTTTCATGTTTATGCCAGTTTTTAACTCGCAGAAAACAATTTTATACGGAGTTCGTATTTTGCATTGAATTAGTTCACTTAGTGCTTTGTCCAATGATTTGGGGAAATTTATATATCTATTTAAAAAACGACTTCTATTTACGAGGAAGAACTGAAGAGCGCCTCTAAGCGACAGAGGCTCGCTTGACAAAGGAGCTCACGTATCTTTAAGTCCTTCAAACAGTTTCCTAGCGGCATGGTTCGAAAACAACTACCAGCTGGAAGAAAAACAATATATTGATGTTTTCTTGAACTAGTGCAGCAATAGCTATTGACCTATGCTCAGAAGCTCGATGTAGTCTTTCGAAAACCTTTTGGTTTGCAGAAATCCGTACACAAGCCACTGAAAAGTGTACAGTTTTTTATTTGAGGCTCGTTTGGAAACCTTAGTTGCGCTCCTTTTTAGAGCTTTCCAACGCTTCAAGGGTCTAGGACAACAGGCCGACGGGACTTCAAGCCGAAGGGACTTCAGGCCGAAATTTGCACATTACAAGCGCCTCGAAACACTATTTTTCATCTGTAAAACGTTGCTTTTCAAAAATTTAGGCAAGTTTAGTCCATAAAAAGCGTTATTCATGACAATGCACCACTTGGGATTGGCATCCGAAATGCATACATTATAAACATGAAAAACGCCTTCAACCGTGTTTTATTTTTCAACTTTCCTAAACATATTGGAGGCTTAAAATTTTTGAAAACGCCAATAACTAGTGGGGAGATAATGAAAAGTTTCAAGAATTTCTTTCTTTCATTTTATTCCATAACAGATCCAATATTTCGGGGCCTAGGAAATTAGACGATAAGCAAATTAGACAGATGCTACAAAAACGAAATTAGAAGAAATTTATTTTTTTTACAGATCTGGCATTTTAGACGAAAAAGCTATGAAAAGGAAAAAGCCAACAAAATTTTTTCTTAAAAGTCAAGTTTCACGAATACAAAAAGAACATAAAATGTCAAATCCGAATATTTTAGGAGAGTTATGAGTTGAATAAGTTATTCATGATTACTTTGTAAAAGTATTGGCCACCGAAACTTAACTGTTGTCAGTAGTGATATAATTTGCATTATCAGCTAGTTTTCGAAGTCCACCGCTCCGCGAGATTCGCTCCGCTACCTTACTTCAAGTAGTGATATAATTTGCATTTTAACATAGTTTTCGAAGGACAACCTTACGCAAACAGCGAGCGAAAGCGAGGTGTTGAAGTTAGGTAGCGAAGCGAATCTCGCGGAGCGGTGGCCTTCGAAAACTAGATTATAATGCAAATTATATCACTACTGTTTTCTACAAACAATTTTATTTTTCTCACGCAATTTGTCTGCAGACAATTTTAATCTCTCTCACTTTCGTCTATTTTCTCACAATTGCAGTTTTGCAAAATCGACTAATTTCCTTTTAAGTACCTCCGTCTAATTTGCTGCTTATCGTCTAATTTCTCAACCCCCAATATTTCATCAACTTGAACATTCTTGAATTGAATATTCTTTGCTTGCATAATGCTCCAGCTTGGATTGTTTTGATCGCTATTTTAAGTACACTCAGAAATAGGCCGAATCGACCAAAAATATAGAATCAATCAGTAGCGGATTTAGGGGACGCCCTATCCCTCAAGGATTCGACCCCCTGCCGACCCAAAGGATCCCTCTTTGTAGTATTCTTTGGCTGACTGGCCATAAAAAATTTCTGGGCGCCAATTTAAATTTAGTTTGAGAGGGGAGCGCGCCCAAAAAAACGCAATTTTTTCTTCGTCAAAACTGTACTTTTATGGCCTGTTTTTCGAAACCTTTGCCTTCGATGCAAAATTTTTTGAGGCTTTGGGAGAGCTCAGAAATCAATTTGGTCGACCAAAAAAAGGTTGACAAAATTTTCGAAACATTCCGCCCCTTCGAGAAAATCCCAGATCCGCACCTGTACAGAATGATTGGTTATTGGTTAAATATTTAAAATTATTTCAAACTAACTCCCCGGCCACCAAAAATTTACCCGGACCACAAAACTGGGAAAAACGTCCCAAGGGAAAAAATGGCCATCCAAGACAAGAAGTTCGGCCTAGATGGAAATTGAAAAAAAAAATGTCAAGGGCAATCAGGCCTTTTGTTGTGGTTTCAAACATTGAAAGGTTTGAATAGCAAAATTTCAAAATCTGGGTGGAAAAGAGAAAAGACCATATGCGTAAATGCTTTTGGACCACTTTAACCGCTTTTTATGGCAATGTATGATTTGTAGATAATGTGGATGGAGTATTTCTGGATACGATGATTGTTAAAAGTAAACAAGACTGCTCGTATCAGGGCGAAGTCCTGAATGTTCCGAGCAGCTTTTAAGTTCTATGGAGCAGTAATAACATGAAAAATTTAAATTTAAGAAAAAGTAAAACTGAATTTTCAATTGAGATTTTTTGTAAAACATCCCTCCACACGCCATATTAAGTAGAAAGTGATAAATTTTGCTCCTGTTAACAAATCAATTATGTCATATAGGCTTTCTTGAACCATTTTGAAACAATTTCTAACAAGACTGCTTGTATCAGGGCGAAATCCTGAATGTTCCGACCGCCTTTTAAGTTCTATGGAGCAGTAATAACATGAAAAACTTAAATTTAAGAAAAAGTAAAACTGAATTTTTAATTGAGATTTTTTGTAAAACATCCCTCCACACGCCATATTAAGTAGAAAGTGATAAATTTTGCTCCTATTAACAAATCAATTATGTCATATAGGCTTTCTTGAACCATTTTGAAACAATTTCTAACAAGACTGCTTGTATCAGGGCGAAATCCTGAATGTTCCGACCGCCTTTTAAGTTCTATGGAGCAGTAATAACATGAAAAACTTAAATTTAAGAAAAAGTAAAACTGAATTTTTAATTGAGATTTTTTGTAAAACATCCCTCCACACGCCATATTAAGTAGAAAGTGATAAATTTTGCTCCTATTAACAAATCAATTATGTCATATAGGCTTTCTTGAACCATTTTGAAACAATTTCTAACAAGACTGCTTGTATCAGGGCGAAGTCCTGAATGTTCCGACCGCCTTTTAAGTTCTATGGAGCAGTAATAACATGAAAAATTTAAATTTAAGAAAAAGTAAAACTGAATTTTCAATTGAGATTTTTTGTAAAACATCCCTCCACACGCCATATTAAGTAGAAAGTGATAAATTTTGCTCCTATTAACAAATCAATTATGTCATATAGGCTTTCTTGAACCATTTTGAAACAATTTCTAACAAGACTGCTTGTATCAGGGCGAAGTCCTGAATGTTCCGACCGCCTTTTAAGTTCTATGGAGCAGTAATAACATGAAAAATTTAAATTTAAGAAAAATTAAAACTGAATTTTTAATTGAGATTTTTTGTAAAACATCCCTCCACGCGCCATATTAAGTAGAAAGTGATAAATTTTGCTCCTATTAACAAATCAATTATGTCATATAGGCTTTCTTGAACCATTTTGAAACAATTTCTAACAAGACTGCTTGTATCAGGGCGAAGCCCTGAATGCTTCGACTGCCTTTTAAGGTTTAAAGAGCAGTGAAAACATTAAAAAAATAGATGTAATAAAATGAAATTAATTTTTTTTTCTAAAATTTGAAATTTTCTTTGAAAATCATCCGCCCACACGCCATTTTAAATGCATAAGAATAGATTTTTCTCCTTGTAACAAATCAATTATGGCAAATAGGCTTCTTTCAACCAATTTGGAACGATTTCTAAGACGGGTTATCTTCTCTTACGCGTTAATAGCGCGAAATATATCGTGCGTTAACTGTCCTAAATTGGCCAAAATAGCAACCTTTAAACCCATCACTTTACAAAAATTGATCTCAGGTGAAATATCTTTTCAAGTTTAAGCTCAAGGCAACAATAGCTTCCGAATGATATTTTAAAAATTCCGTCAAAAATGACTAGTTAAAAATTCGAAATTTTTCTGAAGAAAAAACCCACCCCGAGCTCAAATATTCCGTTACTTTTGTTACGAAAGTCGGAACAATAATCTCTAGTTGAGCAAAGGAAACCAAAAGAATTTACTATTCATCATCAAGTGTACAATTTGACCAAGCAGTTCATTTTTTTCAACAATATTTCTCGCATTTTACAGTCATTGAAGAAAACTTCATGTAATGTATCTCCAGTTTTCGACTATTATGTACTAGTTTAAAACAAGCCTAACAGAATCTTAAGATGTCAACCAAAACATGATTTAATAACTAGAGTAAATTTTGACCACCTAATTACTACGTTTGGCAGATTTCGGAAAGCAAAAAAAAAGATAAACTGAGCGTTAAGCAAGTAGTACAGAAAGCGCCAACCACAATTATACCTGCTAAAAAAGAGGAGAGTTCTTGAAAAAAAATTTAATGTTCAAAAGGGCCTAAAAACTAGTTTATGACAATTTTTCAATAACTTGGACGTAATATAATTTTAAAAATTTAATTCAACTTGGAAGTCTCGAAAAGAATCAATGGAGAAGGAATCTTCTCGCCAATTTGTCTGAAAACCGGGTTCATTTGCTCAGCATTGACTATTTAAAGAAATTAATAAATTAATAGAATACATCTGATTTTTGTCGCACCTAATTTTGCATGCAATTAAAAATTGATAACACACCCGAATACCAAGTTTCTCCTCACGTTTATGCCCTTTACTAATAAAAATATCAACGCTTCTACAAATAGCAAGTGATACTGGCACGTAGACGAGCTGACAATTGAGATGCTCAAATGCAAGTTCAATGAGTTAATTAGACAATTGATGAAAAACTTGTTGTTCCAACCAGGAAGAAATTCTGGCGTAATTTGTGTTCTTTTCCTCACAATTTTTGTTGCTTCACTTTCAGTCGTGAAACAAATCGCTTTAAAAAATTCAAAAAATTTCTCGTAGTTCTGAGAAAAACAGGTCTGATTTTTTTTCCATTTTCGCAATTGAGTTTTACCATTTTGTATTATTTGGCATATCTTT